TCTCTCTCTCTCTCTCTCTCTCGCTCTCTCTCTCAGAGAGAGAGACTATCTGAGACTATCTATCTATTGATCTACCTATAGTACCTATATATAGATGGATAGATAGATAGATAGATTGTATATATTGTCACAGCCCCTCGTTTGTTGTCTTCTCCCTCTCTCCCTATGGTTTACCGGGCAGCTCTGTTTGACGATATATGTCTGGAGTGTATTTTTTGGCTGTGACAGACCTTTCTTTGTTTCGTGGGTGTTTTGCTTGTTTGGGATGGGGTGTGAACCGACAGTCTGTAGAGTTTTCCATCTGGTGTGGGTGAGTGATAGTCTGCTTTGACTTTTGCCACAGGCACCTTGAGGGCAGTGGTTGGTGCCCACCTCAGGGTATCAGTTGTTGGGCAGTCGTTGATGCTTAACCACAGCCGGGGTTAAGGTGGATTATCACTTACAGTGTTACCAGTTAGGGGATTCTGCAGACTGTTGAGGGTTCAGCCTCCTGATGAGTCGGTGAAACTCCGAAGAAACAGTTTGCCACAGCCCCTCGTTTGTTGTCCTCTTTTCCCTGTCTGCCTACGGTTTACCGGTCAGCTCTGTTTGACTATACATATCGCCAAAACCCTAAACATGCTATTCGGGAAAGAATAGTAACCGGACTCCCCTGCCTAGGTTAGCCTTCCCGACTGATGTTCTTACCCAAACCCTAAACCCTAAACCCTAAACCCTAAACCTAGTGTCTTGCCTGGTGCCTGCTCCTCTCAGCCTCTGGGCTGTACACTCACTCCAATAGAGCAGTGCACTGTGTCCTCCCTTCGTAGCGACGTGACCTCGCTCAAACCTAAAATCCTGTGTGTTCGGGCTACCTTAATGTCGTTGCGACACTTCTATTATGACTTGATCGAAAAACTTGGAATATTCCTCGCCTTCGATGCCTGTGTCGAGCATAACGCTACTTCTTTTTGCATCCTTGTCTTTCATAATAGGACTCTTGAACAGCCTTCATTGCTCCCTGAGGGGGAGGATTGCCTTTCAGTTAGCCTTTTTTTCCTTGTAGAGTTTCTCTCAGTCACAGCACCGCTGGGGCTGTCACAATGTTGTGTCCGAACAAGAACTTCCGGAGGACCGCGCTATGACTGCGTAATTGACTTGACCAATCACTGTAAGACTCCTGTGACAGTGAGGGTAATTCATTTCCAATTCCAGTCTGGCAAAAGTCCCTCTATGTTTTGCAAGCAGGACTGCATCCGCAACTCGTTGCTCTTGTTATCCATGCTCTCTTTTCTGATGACTGGAGTTGCAACTGTTGTACCATGTCTTGTCTTGTTTGCACCCACTCTGCAGGACACCTTGAAGGGTAAGAATGGAGAGGAAGTGAAGCTGAGCGCTCCTTATGGAGATGAGTTGCCTGCACAGGGGTTTGATGCTGGGCAGGATACTTTCCAGGTCAAAATTTAAAATCATCATTTCATGCCCCTTGTCGTTTCCCAGCTTGAGGTTTCTAAACCCGTTTTTCATACGGTGAAGGGGGTGGGGTCGTGCAAAAAGATTTGCTGTAACCAGTACCGAACATTTAACTTCGGAAAGGCACTCAAGCTGCTACTCTCTGTCTGCATGCAGGGTTTTCTGTTCCTCGCTGGAAGGAATCTCTCACATTTACATATCTCAGTCATGTGATTCATGCGTGGATCCAAGTCATATAATCTGTGCATTGGAGTTTTCCTGTTGTACCGAACAAGCAAGCTGGGTATCCAGACACTGGCCAAGGAATGCTTCTTTGCAAAAGACAAAGCACCAAGAGCTTTTACAGTTTTATAAGTAGAACAAGAAGTGTCAAGAACACTTCCAGTTTTGTAAAAGGGACAAGAACGTTTCCAGTCTTATAAATAGAAAGGGATGTTTGGAAATAAATATTAAAAAAAGGGTGAGAAATCAGAGAAAAAAAAAAGGCAACAAGAACGAAGTCTCCGTACAGTGTAGACTTTTGCACTTCATGTATGTGTATTTTGAAAACACCGAAGCCCTCTGTTTCATTGTGCAAAGGTGATTTTACAAGGGAATACACGGGGGTAATTATCACAAGGGAGCTGGATAGTGCACATCCTCCCTTGCTGATGCAGTAAAGTGTTTCTTGAATTTGACAATTTTGAAATAGTTTTGTTATGGATCCAGGCAGTGTTGCACACCCTGCCGATCGGCGCCCGTTGACTGGTCGGATGCCAACCAGCCGACCGGTCTGCTGGTCGACGCCTACCGGTCGGGGGTCGTCGGCAACACGCAAAAAAAAATAAAAAAATAAAAAAAGAAGTTTTCTTTTTGGGTCCAGAATCCCCAATAACCTCACCAGCACACCCATACCCGTCCCCAATACCCCCATACACCCCCTCAAAACCCCCAAATCGCCCCCCTCTATCCCCTAGACCACCCCTATACCCCCCTATTACCCCCCTAATACCCCCTCCCCAACCCCCCCATCTCCAAAAGTTTCTCAGGGGATTTGGGCTGTACTCAGCAAGCGCAGTACAGCCCCCAACCCAAATGAAAAAAAACAACAGTGGAGGCTGATTTCTGACTGTTCGGCGGTCGGCAGCTATGCATCCCTGGATCCAGTTATTTCAGGCATTGGATCTCGAAATAGTATTATGCCTGCTCTGTATCTGTGTTTGTGTGATGTGTGTGTGCGAGTGAGCGAGTGAGAGAGAGGGAAATGTCATGTTGTTCCCTCTCATATATATGATTTTGTTTTGTTTGGTTTTGGAGCAGGCTCCTCCTCCTGATGGTACACATGTGGAGGTCATAGTTGATTCCAAGAGCGAGCGCTTGCAGTTGTTAGCGCCCTTCCAGAAATGGAATGGGAATGACATCGAAGACGCATTGATCCTAATTAAGGTGTGTTTCAAAAACTGACCTTTCTGCTTCAGCTCTCTCATACGCCGCCTCTTTCAAAAAAAAAAAAAAAAATGGACCATTTCTCAATTTATGCATGTCATTCTTGCGCAGGGGGCATGCTAATCTTCTCTGTACCGTTCCAATTTTAATGGATGTCCCAAAGGACCATAGGCCTCCTCTTAGAGTGTGATGGTGGTAAGTTTGTGTTTCAGAATGACCTATTTGGTCACTTGCATTTTCTGCAATCAGATTCGTTTTCAAACACACTTTTCACACATGTAAACAGTAACGCAGCACACTGGCGACATGCGCCCACTCAAAACTCAGAGATATGGCTTCAGATACGAGTTCACTCTCAAATGGCTATGGCGACTTCAGCGCCCAAACATCTCACTGTTCACATACACTGGATCACCCTGGATATCCCACACGCATCACTCTAAC